GAGAACAAACTGAAGCCAATAGCAATACAGGTGGCAGCCAGCGTGTGGCGACGCAGATGTATTTATGTACGATGAGGAAGAATAAACATTGTTCTCTTCACATGCAGCTGCAGCAGAAACCTTCTGAGCAGAATCCCATCTTTCTTCCGAGTGACGAGGAGACCGACTGGCTGCTCGCAAAGATGTTCCTCAGAAACACAGAATTCATGGTTCATGAATCCACTCATCACCTCCTGTTCACCCACCTGCTGGCTGAGGTCTTTATTATTGCCACTTTTCGGAACCTCCCTGAGATCCATCCAGTCCACAAGGTTTGAGCGCAGAGCAGAAGTTGCTGGAAAAAATACAAAGTCACGTTCTCTCTATCTTCTTCATGCTCCAGTCCAGGTCACGACCTGCGTCATAGTCTGGTCTAACGACTGAAATCCTCTTCCTTTTAAATGTTTTTCAGGAAGAGAGAAAATAAAAGATGGTTCTAGATCCAAACCCATCGATGATCTTCAATCCTTTCATCAAACTGAATTCTATCTTTTTCTTCCTTAGCTCCTGATTTCACACTTTCAAGACACTATGGTCTTAAACGTAGGAGGCCGTAAGAGTCTCCTGGAACCTGGGGGAGCTCTAGCCCTGGTAGGAAAATCCCGATTATTTTGAATTCAATTCATTTTCTACATTTGAGCTGTAAAGTTTTCATCAGTTCATCCTACTGTTGTTATCTCTGTGTCACTCACCCTCAGTGCTCGCTGGGATTCGACGGGCTGATGGAGCTCATGAGGAACCACTTTGGATGGATAGATGGATGGATGGATGGATGGATGGATGGATAGATGGATAGATGGATGGATGGATGGATGGATGGATAGGTGGATGGGTGGAGGGATGGATGGATGGATGGATAGATGGATGGATGGATGGATGGGTGGATGGATGGATGGGTTGATGGATGGATGGATGGATGAATAGATAGATGGGTTGATGGGTGGATGGATGGATGGGTTGATTGATGGATGGATGGATGGATGGATGGATGGGTGGATCAACTTCAACTTTTTCTTTTTTTTCTTTTTTAATAGATTTGTGAGAGCGGTGGTCGAGCACTATTATCCAACAGACAGTGAGGTCTGTGCAGACACTGAGCTTCAGGACTGGATCAACGACATATTCACACATGGCTTTCTGGGAAACAAAGCCTCAGGTACGTAACCTGTCCTCTTCACTGTGAACAATATGAACATTTATGGGCATGTCCTCCTTCCAGGCATGTCCTGTCAGTAAAGTCAAAGCTCTAAGAACCAGAATATTCTACAAAATAAAAGACTGCACCATAGTGAAGTACACACACTTGTGTACTTCACTTGTGTACTTCACTTGTGTACTTCACTATGGTCAGCAGCTCATTTAGCAGCAACTTGTGGTAAAATGTCCTTGAAAAGACAAATAAAAAAGAACCTTTGAAACAGGAATACCAGACCGCTTCAGTACTCCAGAGGAAGTCACCAGATTCATCACCATGGCGATCTTCACCACCACAGCCCAGCACGCCGCCGTCAACAGTGGACAGGTGAGGTTACTGTGGGGAGTTTGAATTTCACCCCTGAACCCAAACTAAAGCCTGTTTCACTGTAGTTCGACTACAGCTTCTTCTTACCCAATGCACCACCCCTGATGCGCAAACCTCCTCCAACCACTAAGGGGCAGTCAAACATGAAGATGATTCTGGAGACCCTTCCAAACCGTGGTGATACCGCCAAATCTGTGATGATGTTGTGGGTCCTTTCACAGAGATACTCAACCTTTGTAAGTTTGTTTTTCATACAGCAAATTATAAATAAAATATTTGGAAAAAACTCATTGTACTACACTATAAAAATCCACTCTTTTGTCGCCGTTTGCAGGTTCCACTGGGTCATTACCCTGAACGATTCAGCGAGCCTGCAGTCAAAAAGATGATTGAGCAGTTTCAGGCAGAGCTGTCTGACATCAGTGAAGCCATAAGTGCAAGGAACTCAGGACTGGACAGGCCCTACACATACCTGGACCCTGCACATATAGAGAACAGCATTGCCACTTAAGGCAGAAGAGATCACTGATAATCAGGGCTGTCCGATATTTGCATAATTATGTAATCTCTGTAAAAATGGTTACTGGTTTTACCTCCGATGTTGAAAACACAATAACGCAATGCCTGCATTTTGGGAAATGATGTTTGCTCTAAAAACAGTTCAATGTTTCTTTGGTTAAAGGTTCCTCAGTGCTCTGAAGAACCTTTAGTGAAACACAATTGCAGTAATTCCTTCTAAACTTATTGCTCTGAACCCAGCTTCTCCAAAAATGCCTCCTCCTCCTCTCACCCCTCCTCACACCTCCCCCATATTAATAACTGTTATTATCAACAATAAACAAGTCTCCAGTCGCTAGGTCATAACACGCAGCAGAGTCATCAGGTTCTGCAACATGATAAGACAGGTGACAGAAGACATTTGAAGAATGAACTACTCTTGATATGAACCTGTCTGAACTGGTTTGTTTGGCATTATTAATGGGGAGCTGTGGCACAGAAAACTCCATGATTCTTAATTACTGTCTGTCAGACGTCAACACCATCAAGACCTGTTTGTTTTTTACACTCTAAAAGTACCGTCAAGTCAACACATCTTTGTAAAGCTTTGTAAAGCTTTGTAAATTTTTTTTTCTGCAACACAACAAAATACTTAATCGGCATGAGGAAGGTTAGGGTCACTGTCTGAAATGAGACCATCTTGTTGCCGTGATACAGGTTTAAAGTACCTGCTGATTAGTAGTTCTGGTGATATTCATTTTTATGATTTTCTGTTGTTGTATTATTTTAATTTGTCACTTTTATTTACCCGACTCAACCGTGACAAAATATTTTCCTCTTATACAACCACATAAAACTTTTGGTGGGGCTGGGAGAGGGGGTGGTTACCTTATTAAATGTTCCCCTAAGGGTGCAGCATCCTTCGCAGCATGAGTAATTGGAGCTTCCAATGTGAGTTCCCTTCTCCGCACAGAGACTTCTCACACGATTTGCCCGTTAAATGCTGTACTATAGAGGCAATTCCGCCATCTATCGACAGACTTAGCACCACGGGCTCACATTAATTCAACTCAAGTATTTGTCTGCGGTGTTTGAGCTTGATTTTGGTCCGGTGCGCATTTGCTTAAAATCCACCCAATTTTCAAGCCGCCAACAAAATATAGTTGTTGTGAAATAGTGAAACTGTGTTTTTAAGAATTCTAACGTCTGGTTCTTCGATACTGACTTGTGTCCCCACTTCCGGATTGCTATATTAGGAGACTCTTGTTTCCACACGAACGGTTTAATCTGAAGGACAACTCAGTTTTGGCGCCGCCTACTCACAGAGCAGTGTGACGTCACTGCGGTGCTTCTCGGAGGCACAGTGAGTGTCTGTCGTTTGTTTCATTGGTTCATGAAGTAAAATAACAAACGTTGCTGTCAATAAAAGTGTATCGACTTTTTGTCAGACATAGCAGCAACAAGGTGTCGACGAGTTTCCGTCCCAGAAATCAACGATGTCGTGTGAAGGAAATGGCATGTCCGGTAAGTTTTTAAAAGCCGGTAGAAGTTTTATTTTTATTTTTATTTTGTATCGCAGAAGGCTAAAATGTTAACTAAAGCTACATGTCCCCCCAATAGATGAAAGAATAGGGACGGCGCTCATCAAAGTGTAAGTATTGGTAAGTTTTGTATTTATTTATTTATTTATTTTTCATTTAGTGGAGGTTTTTGGAATATTTTCACGTAACTAACGTCAAAATAAAGCTTTTAATGATCTTCTCGGCTCATTAAAACAATGTCATTGCATATTTTGACTTATCTTTTTTTTTACAACATTGTGTAATTGGAAAGTGTAAAATGAACGTGTCTGTCATCTACCGCCAAGTAGTATAGTTAGATAGTTGGTAAAAGTTTATTCTTTAAAACAAAAGAAATAACGGATTAAACAATAGATAATATTCTCATGACTGTGTTGCTATAAATCCAACAAATACATAAAGATACTTGGAACAGATTCAACAAATGATTAATTACCCATGATACAACATAGTTTTGTTGACTGCTTTATTTTGAGTTAATTATTATAATTATTATAAATTATATAGTTAATTATTTTAAGATCTCACTGCAGGAGCTTTCAGTTTCACTTTACCGTGACAGGATTGACCTGTTTACGGGAAGTAACTTCCTATACACCGTACACACACACACACACACACACTTCTCTGTGATGACTCATACAAGGAAGACGATAATAATGTCAGCGTTTTCTGTCACAGTTCATGAAAACGCTCAGGTTTTTGCACTTTGCACTGTGATAGATGTTGTTCAGCAGAGAGAGAAAAACTGTGTGTTGTGGTTCACAGTATCTGACGCTCCGTCTGAACCTTGGTGAACATGAAGAGGGTTTTTTTTTCCAATGAGAGGATGAAACAGTAAACAAAGTTTAAGACATGAATAACTGAATGTGTTAATTTTTGGAAGTCAGGTTTTTGTATAAAAACAAATCTGTCCAACTGTTATTGAACACACAGGACACACACAAAACTGTATGAAACTTTCTCTCCCAGTTGATAAAACCTGGGTTTCAAAGCCTGGACCATCATCTGACAAAAACATACTTTAATTTAATCTGTAATTTGACATATAACTCAGATATTTAATTAAAGTTATTAAAGTTTGCCTTTTAACTTCCTCCGCTCCTCCAGCGTCATCGAAGAGGAACTGAAGGATGTTCCTTCAGAGGATGTCCCGCCTCTTACCCCGCTGGTTGTAGATGTTACAAGTGAGCAGGAGAGGAAGATAGTGAGCCAGTTGGGCGTCATGTGTCGGATCATTGGTGACAGGATGCGAGATGATACCGAGTTCCAGGAGTGAGTAATACTCCCTGCGAAATAAGAACTTCATATTTCCAAAGTATTTCCAAAGTGACGCCCTTGTCCTTGTCTTCGTTCGTGTCTCTGGTTACAGTGCCATCGATGGAGTGGTGCAATGCAGCGGCTTTAAATGGGACCGTTTTAAGCAAGTGGCTGAAAAAGTTTTTGAGCAAGGCATCACCTGGGAGAGGATCGCCGTGCTCTTCTACGTGGCAGGAAAACTAGCACTGAAGGTAAAGAAAGAGATTTTTCTGATTCTTCCTGAAGGCATTTTAGTCCATGAATCATAATTTGGTCTACACTACATGTGTTTGTGTCCCAGATCTTTTAGTCTCATTTTCAGTACAAAACGTCTCGTTTCCTACCTGGAACACTTCGGTGACAGAACAAAATCCCACGAAACATGCTAGAAACAACATCATTCAGAATGTAGTGTAGCCCACAGCAGCTAACCACTCAAACCACCGGGTTTGGGAAATTATGGACAAATAACTTTTGTTGTCTTTACAGCTTAGTCTGTTGAACGTCAGTGAATAGACATCGAGGTGAGGTAAAAAATGTATACAGGACAGGAGTGTTGTAGCTAACGTTAGCTTTGGGGTTCTGACCAGGATTGTTGGAGCGAACGTTAGCTCTGGTGGCTGTACCAGGACTGTTGTAGCTAACTTTAGCTCTGGTGTCTGCACCAGGACTGTTGTAGCTAACGTTAGTTCTGGTGTCTGTACCAGGACTGTTGTAGCTCGTTTACTCTGTTCAAGTCGGAGTGAAATGGCCTGATAGTCTGTGTGTTCTTGTGCCCATCAGATGGTGGAGGTTCACCTGCCTCAGTCAGTGCGAGAGATCCTGATGTGGACTGTGGACTTCTTCAAAAATAACCTTTTGAGCTGGATTCGGGAACATGGAGGATGGGTAAGTTGAATGTTGCACATCACCACAGCTTGATCAGCAGGGGGAGCTGTTATGTCACCAGATACATTCTACTCAAAGGCTCACTGAAGTTGAGAACCAAAAGAAAAATGTTCCCACTTCCACTGCATATAATTGTTGGGATTCACTGTGTTTACAGCAGTAACGGCCTGTTTCATTTTGAAACATGTGAAAAGTCTCAACTTTAACCCAGCTGTAAAATTATTTAAGATTATTTAAAAACTGACCAGGGTATAAACATCACATTTATAAAAGTGCTTTTACGCAGGACAACTTTGAGGTATGTGTGTGACGGGCATAACTGGACACAAAAATGCACAACAACACAATTATGCACTTTTCCATGCTAACAAAAATTAATAATTATTCAAAATAATAATAATAAAATAAAGTTCTGTGTGGCCCGGTACCAAATGATCTATTACCTTGCATGGGTCCCTGATCCAGTGGTTGAGAAGCACTGATTTAAATGGCAGTTTGATTATGTTTCAACTGACACATTTTTATATCAAACTTTATAAATGGTTTTTATCTATTACACAAAGACTTGGGATTTTTTAAAATTTATTTATTAAAAACTTTGTCTCAATAACATGTCACACGGTCATGCCTCAGTCAGACTCTGTGACCAATCAGAGCTCCTCTCAGACAGACACGCTGACTGGAGAGTTTTTGGTCAAAGTTTCACTCAGTATTATGTCAACGAAACCTCACGCTGTTCAGAGAAAATGTGGTTTAAAGGCTGGGTTTCCACAACTCTGTGTTCACAGATCAACAGTTTCTCCTCGTTAGCCGTGGCCTCCATGCCGGGTGTTTCCTCCATTAGCTCCTTCACAGCCTTTATCCTCATCTTCATCACTGGTGTCACTCTGGGAAGCTTCATCACCTGGAGACTGACCAGATGACTCTTATGCATGCAACACACGCACATACCCACTTACAGTATGTTTTTTTTATATCCAAACCTATGCAAACTTGAAAATGAAGGGAGACAGAAACACACACACACACACACACACACACACGTGTCCTCACCGAGGAGGAGAATTATTTTTTCCTGGAAAAAAATAATTCTGAAAAAAAAAAAAATCCGACCTATTTCATACCTTTGATCAGGTTTTTCCACTGGGGCTGTCAGTACTGTATGCTAGCACGGCTTTTAATCTGCTACCCTAAGTGTAGCATTAGCATGCCACTAACATGCTTCGTAACTCGCGCACCTGTAACATTCTGCTGCTTTGCTTGTGCATTTTATTGCCGCAAAATCTAAATGGCCTGCTAGCACGTCTTTAATGGTGTTTGTTTATTATTATCTGTTGAACAGAAAGTGAGCAGAGCTTTTACAGCAATACATTTAAAAAAGTTAAACTGCCAGTAAACAGAGTCACTTCAACTGAGTAGAACTATATCCATGTTTGAATGAACAGATGAGGACAGTGTTGGTGAAACAAGTCAGAACGACTGGTGACTTGGTGAGGTGTAAGCTCCTCATCTGTCCACTGGGGGGTGGAACTGAGAAGAGATAGACATCAGTGTATTGTCAGGGCTGAGACTATTCTTCAGCTCTTTGGTTAAATAGTTCCTGTCAGAACTGAACCGATCAGTCAGTCAGTCAGTCAGTCAGTCAGTCAGTCAGTGAGTCAGTCAGTCAGTTGGCCTCCTTAAACAAACAAACATGTTTAGAAACCTGAGCATTTAAATGGAGACTCGTACCGTCACCCTCGCCGTCCCCGCCATTATTATATTAATTTTGACTAATTAAATTCACCCTGTGCCTTTTTTAATAAGTCCATGACGAACGCCTGACTCTTCCTGCTTTTCGTTTTCCTTTTTTAAAAGTAAACATGCTGCTGTTGCTGTTGACGCCTTCCTCTCTTTGCTGCTGATCTTTGTCAGTTATAACGTCTTTGCACAACCGCCCATATTTGCAGGAGATGTTTCTTTTATTCAATTCCGCTTCCATCAGCTCCGTAATCTTTTGTTCTGCGTTCTTCTTCTTTCCTCTCCTCGTCTCCTCAACTCACCAGCATCTCTAACAGGCAGCTGACATCCTACCACGCAATTAAGATTAATCCCCATCCACTGATTACAGAGTATATAATATGTGGGATTACATTTCTTCATTGAATGACAGCGCTTGTCTTTTTTTTTAATTCTGGTGTTTTTTTTAAATATCTTTTTTTTAAAGTTTTTTTTAATTCTGGTGTTTTTTTTAATATCTTTTTTTAATTTTTATGTTCTTTTTCTTTTAAATCTGTGTAAATGAAATGTTTTTTAACGCCACTTTTTTATAACAGAGACATTTACATTGAAGTCCGCCAAATTATTTTTCCAACATTTAACACAACTCCCAGTGCTCTACCGCAGGTATTTTTGTGAATGCATCAGTTTTATTCCAAAGGAGACAGATATAAAGTGTTTACATTTAAAAAAAAAAAGACGGTTTAATGACACGTGTCACTGACTGTTGACGAGTAGGCAGACTGTAGGAAGAACCGTCATACGTGACCCCCGTGACCCCCCGGTACCATGTGGTATCTGCTCAGTGTACTGTGGTCACATGACTCCAGACGTGGTCCGACTTCTTTCGGTCTCTCCTGGGACGTCCGTGTTGTACGTGTGTTTTATTTCCTCCCAGAGAAAACCTCATTAAATGCTCTTTGAACCAAAATAAACCCGCGTCTTCCTGCTTCCTGCTACGTTCCTGCCGGATAAAAATACCTTCTATCAAGTTCATGTGTGATTTGGCTGGACATAATTATAGCCCCACGTCGCTCCCTTTTTTATCCTCATCCCTTTGTCTCCCTCTCTCCCTCTCCCCTGTGCCTCCCATGATCTATAAACGGTAGACAATTAGCAGGAAAGTTTTTTTTTCTTCTTCTTTCTATTTAATGCTCCTAGCAAGGAATGAGCAAAAGAGGTTCTGATAGAATCATGGCTGAACGGTGAAGAAGTGGAAGCTTCTAGATTCTCTACCATTTTATTTCATCGGGGTCACCTCTCTGTTTATTTACAATTTGATTCTCTTCATTTGTGAAAAAAAAGGGTGGAAACCTTATGTGGAATGTTGTTTGCTCTGTACCAGTGATTATCAACTGGCGGCCCGCAGGCCCAATCTGGCCCACCGAATTGTGCCATGACTGCATTTCGAAAAAATGTGAAGATCAAGAATATTGTGTGGTCCCTGTTATTACAGCTACTGAAAAACAAAAAATCTTAAAATGTGATTTTTATTTCATTCTATTTACTTACATTTTCATAACCAGGACATTGAGACATGAACCTTTTAACCTGTAGCATCAATGAATTCAAGAGCACAATATTCAAAGGCGTTGTTTGGTTTGGTCATTTGAAGTTGTTATAGCTGCAGCGCCTCCCTGTGGTCAGGCAGTAAAGGCCTCTCTGCCCTGGCTGAATGGACGGAGCAGTTTACAGTTGTTGTGTCCCTTCATGGAGGGGAGGGGAAGGGGGTAGGGGGGGGGAGTGTCACCACATCTGTCCGAGCAGCATCGAACTGTGAACCTTCTGTTGAACCTACAGTTTCAGTTTGACTCGTTCCTGTAGCAAACGTACGGCGGTCGTCTTCTGATTCCTCCCGAAGAAGTTGTGATTCATCCCCGCCTTGGATGGAGGACTCGGAATCGAACTCACTTCTGCATGACAGCCAGGAAAACAACCGCTGCACCACTCCAATACTGTAGCTCTGCCTGTATTTACACAAAAATCTGTGCTCAGATCTCACCGTCCTGTACAGAGGTGGTGAGTGTGGTCCCAGTGAGGGGGGAGACACACCGTGGGGTCTGGATCACAGGGGTTTACTGAAGACTGTTGGTGACGTCGGGCCAGGACCAGGACGATGGAGACAAACCTGACAGAGAGGACTGGTGAGAGGTTCCAATCCCAGGAGCTCAACTTCACGTCTCTGACAGGAACACGGCCGCGTCCCCTACGTTTGTGGGAAGAGAAGGACAAAAAGGGGGAGAGGGGGAGAGGGGTGGAAATGAAAAAAAAGAAAGGACACCAGGAGGACTGAGGGAGGGAGGGAGGGAGGGAGGGAGGACTGCTAAAGGTTGAAATAGAGGGGGGAGACAAAGCAGGGGAAGGGAAGGGAAGGGAGGGGGGACTGCAGTGGTTTGGCTCCCTGTATTTCCCCACTTCCGCCTTTAGAGGTCTCTGTGTCCCACACTGCAGTAAAACAGGTCTGAGCAAGAATGCAGAGAATTCACTGCACCGTGTGTGTATGTGTGTGTGTGTGTGTGTGTGGAGGGGGGGGGTTGGACAAGTACCATTGTTGGAGGGACATCTTGTCCTTGTGAGGACATTCTGCAGGTCCTCAGGTTCAGGGAAATGTTTGGATCTTGACACTTTAGTTTGAAGTTAGGATTGGAATTAAGATGGGATTAAATCTGAGGATTAGGATTAGACGTATATCTGTGAGAGTCGAGGTGACGGTGTAAGGCTAAGGAATAGATTGTGTGTGTGTGTGTGTGTTTGTGTGAGAGAGAGAGAGAGAGAGAGAGAGTCAGGGAGGGAGGGAGGGGTTTAAAGCAGATATCCAGGTGCAACACTGCAGGTTTAGGCCCCTCCATCCATCACTGCCTCCCCCCCCCTCTCTCTTTCTCTCTCTCCCTCCCTCCCTCTCTCTCCCTTTTCTCTCTCTTCCTCTCTCTGCCCTTGTAATGGTAAAGTACTGTTGAACGCTCCGTGCTGGACTAGGTTCTTCACTGATCTCTCTCATAAATTGTCAAAATTATAAAAAATATTAATGTGTCTATGACTGTGTTATAAACCCGTTTATGTCAATATTCTGGATTCAACATTTAAATGATGTCAAATATGACCCCCCCCTCCACACCCCCTCACCACCGACTCTGTCATTACCAGTCTTAGTGTTTGTTCAGTGTCACACAACTCCAGCGATTGTTTGTTTTACTAAATCGGTCGAAAAGCTTATTTATCACTGCCTCTTTGTTCCTTTTATCCATGCCCCCCTCAACCCCTCCCTCTCTTTTTTTTCTCTCTCATGTTTGAATCTGCTTTATTTATGACCATTGTTGAAAACACTGCTGTCAGAGCCGGGACGTCAGGTTTCACCGTCTGAATACACTCACCACAGGGTCGGTATAAAAAGTCAATATTTAAAAAAAGTCTTTTTTTTTTTTTTATATTCAGTGGCTGTGACTTCAGCCGCAGCTTCTTACCAACAGTGCACTTTTTAAAAAACATAATCCATAAATAAAAATAATAATAATTAATGATAATTTTTCACCACTGTTTCGCCCACAAAATCCAATAAAAATAACTAGTAAATTATTAGTAAAACTCCAACCTTCTAATCTGCATTTTGATATAATATGTAAGTATGAATAGTTTTGTTAATGACTCAGTAACATTAATTAATTACTTACTGTAAATTAACATCATTGTCTTGCAGTACATGTAGGATCATTAAAATGGCTCAAAGGACGAAGTAACTCCAATTAATTATCAAAAAAAAAAAAAAAACACAACAAAAACTTATTCACTGCAGTCGTTTATGTCCGTGGCCCCCTAGTGGAGCAGCAGGGTAAAACATCAACAAATAAAGAGTACGGAGTTGTGTGTGTAGTTTTTTTTTTTTTTTTTTTTTTTTGATAGTACACCTTCACACAGGTGTAGATTCTTAGCAGTAAGGCTTTTGTCAAGCTGCTAAATTTGAACGTATTTTTTTTCCTCGTTGTTGACCTGGCAGCCATGTTTGTTTTTTTGTTTTTTTTTTGCTGATATCACACTCGGTCCACAGCTGTGCCTCAGCACAGGAAGTGCACACAGCACAGTCAGCTATACCTGATACACTGATAGTGTGCCTGTGTGTACCTTGTGTGGTACAACTTTTTTTTTTTTTTTTTTTTTTTTGGCATTGACACGACAACAAAAAAGAATGTGTTTGGACGGTGAAGGACACCTGAGAACTTACAGCTTTAAACTGTCAATATATGTGTATTTTATATCTTATATGTAAACATTTCACACACGGTGAGAAATGTTTACTTAGCCTAGGCGGAAGAAAATAGCTAAAAGTTAGCCATTACTAGCTAACTAGTTAGCAGGATTTACGTCATTGTGTTTAGATTCTGCTTTGATTCTGGAAGGTCGAGGTAAAAATGACAGATTTCCATGGTGACTTCTTTGTGTTTACACCTGTTGGTGGCACTGTTGTAACTCACGATTTAAAATACATTTTGATTTGACGAGCATTTAAGGGGAGTAGATATTTGTAATTTTAATTTTAAAAAAATCCCTTTTACAACAGGGGGGGGGGGGGGGGGGCGGACATTCAAATAAAATTCAAAATAAAAATATAATTATATTATATAATATAATTTTCTCTAACATTATTGTTTGATGTTAATTTTGGAATCCAGTCACGGACCGGATTGGACGGTTCGGCGGGCTGGGTTTGGCCTGTGAGCCGTCGGTTGATAACCACTGCTCTGTACTATAAGGTTATTAACTTGTCTTTTATCTTGGAACGGGAGTAACGTTCTGTACTGTGAGTGTAAAGTCCACTCTACACACACCTACTGTGTGTGTGTGTGTGTGTGTGTGTGTGTGTGTGTGTGTGTGTGCTGTGACGTGACCCGTTTGACTATCACTGCACTCGCCCTGGTCTATCACTCTCTCTCCTACTGCAAGGAGCTTACTTACTCAGCTATTTAACTTAATGAACTGTGTGTGTGTCTGTGCACGTGCACTAATGTATGGTGCATCTCTTTTAGGATTTGCACAAACGTCTGTGTTTGTAAAAAAAAAAAAAAAAAAGTGCGTGAGGTTGTGTGCTTATGAGGCTCATCCTACAGTAAATGTGTGTGTGTGTGTGTTTGTAAAAACACACACACACACACACACGCACACACGCACACACCTGACTGCACCATTAGTCATTCCCAGTCACAAAGAGCAGGAAACTGACAGTAGTGAAAGAAGCTGCTGCTTATGTAACACATCATTTATCATCGGCCCCATTTAGGAGAGTTGACTTACACCAGTTCAAGGTGTGTGTGTGTGTGTGTGTGTGTGTGTCAGAGCACCACCACAAAATAGAATATAAATAGTAGTATTTTGCACTATTTGTATGTGTGCCATATGCAGTACATGTAAAAAAAAAAAAAATAGTAGTATTTTGCACTATTTGTATATATGCAGTAC